GGGTAGAGAGAATAGTGCAACAATGAATGAATGGAAACCCAAAATCTCTGTAAATGTTTATGAAAATTAATAAAATATAGAAAAAAAAAAGAATTGTCCTCTGGTTAAAAAGGAAGATGTTTCTAACAAAAATAAGTAACAAAATCTGCAGAAATTACATATGCAGTGCCTTTACAGTCATAAAAAAGTATTTAAAATATTTTTAATATTACCCATCCACAGTTAAGTTTTATGCAGATCATCTGGTCATTCTAGTTAATCCTCTATGGGACTTAATGGAGAACAAAGCCATCTTATCTCCTTCCTTCTTCTCAAGAAGGTTATCCTCTGCCCAGATCAGATCAGATGTTTTTTCTGTAAACAGAGACCCAGGCGGTAGTTGCTAAGTACCATCGAATTGAGTATGACTCATAGTGACCCTATGAACAACAGATCTGAAACTTGGCCCATTCTGTGCCATTCTCACAATCGCTGGCACACTCAAGCCCATTGCTGCAATCACTGTGTCGGACCACCTTCTTCAGGGTCTTCGCCATTCCTCCACATTTCCAAGCATCATGTCTTTCTCTAAGGAATAACCTCTCCTAGCAACATGCCCCAAAGCCTCATCACCTTTGCCTCCAAGGTGCACTCTGGCTGCACCTTCTCTAAGACATCTGTTTGTTCTTTTGGTTGCTCATGTGATCTTCATTCAGTACTCTTCTTCAGCACCACACTTCAAAGGTGTCAATTCTTCAGTCATCCTTATTTATGTCCATATGCATAGCAAGCAACTGAAAAGACCATGGCCTGAATGAGGCTCACCTTACTTAGCCTTCAAGCGGACATCGTTGCACCTCAATAATTTGTAGACATAGGGAGGGGGTAGAAATTGGGAAAAGTTTCCTATACCATTAGCAATCATCTAAACATGCCCTTTATATTAAAAATACTTAAAAAAAAAACACTTAAAAGAGTTACTGTGACTACTAAGTATAATTTGTGCCAGTAACAGTAATGACGTTTAGTGGATAGTCTTAAAGGGCTGGCATCTTGATAGTTAAACCACAAACGTCTTTATTAAGTGAACATTATCATTATCTCCACTTTGCAGATTTAAAAAGCAGCGGCAGACACAGAGAAATATTCACAGAGCCCAGGATTTGAGGGGACTCCCGACAGGGTTATCTTCCAAAGTTGGCCACATGATGGTCTAGCCCAATTCTTTGGACGCCAGTAGTTATTGCTCGATAAAGAATAGTTTCCCTTCATCCTAAGGAAACCAACCTAATTCCAGGGGGGTTCCCTACATAAAGGAAAACAACATGCAAACTGGAACTTTTTCATTCAACAATAACTCCCTCTCGTAACCTCATCAATCTCAGGATCTCAGGCTAACCCAAGGCAGGCTGTTGGAAAAGGGCACAGAGATTACCTCTTCGGAGCCTCCAGAGGTAGGAATGCAAACAGACTTTGCAAATAGATCTGGCATAGCCTTGCTTCTGACCAAAAATGTTTGCTCAGTCTGATTCAGGTTCCCAGAGCCTACAAGAACAAACACAACCCCTTCCCGTGCCTTCTGGAAATCCCAGGCGGCCCCATTCAATCTGGTAAACAGGACTCTGCTCCGGGATCCTCCAGGACACTCAGAAGTGGGGGACTGTCACAAACGGCGACCCATTGGAGAGAGAATAAACTACACAGGGGCACCAGCCTGGTGGCTTTGAAAAGACATGTGGACGTCTCCTCGGAGGAAATGGGCAAGGCGGACCGCAATGCTCGCCGCGGGGGTGAGCCGGCCACGCCGCCCCGACACTACGAATCCGCCCGCGAGAGCTCGCGCCCCGGCAGGAGAAGCAGAAAAGGGCCCTTGGCACTTTAAATGACTCAGGAAGTGAAAGGAGGCGGCCGGGCAGCGAGAGGGAAAGCGGAACC